CATTCATCCCTTACAAATTACTGCAAGGGTTTCAGCGATCACCAGGCACCTCTATGTTCTAGTTTTCTACAGCTGCTCCACTGTGTGGCGAAGAGCTTCCCAATTCACTGACTTCTCTTCTTGTTTCCTTTTTATGTGTCTGACTGCTGGCTTGAGAGCATCCGTCAGCACCGCCTCATTGGTCTCCTTTTCTCGAACAGCTCGCGATGGCTAATTATTAATTATTATTATTATTATTATTACCAGGGCACCTAGACACTGGGGCGGACGCCACCGTCCTACAAACCCAGAACCAAAAGACGGTCCCGCTCTGGCCTCCGAGAACCCACAACCTAAGAAGTCACATTTCCAAACACTCAGAACAAGGGGAGACCATTTTAACCTTCATCACGCTCAGCTGATGTAGGAGAACAATAATCCGAGGTGGGCAGGTTTGTCTGAGGTGCTTCAAATTTGGGTCCCTGCCTTGCAGTTTGGTGCCGGTGCTCATCACGCCGTACTGCGAGCCGTTGTCAGTCGATGAGACAGCTGGTGGCGCTGGGGGATGTTATATTTACTTTGATCAACTAGGCAATGGATTTTCCATCAACTAGGCGATTAGTCGATAAGTGGGGGGAGCTGCAGCGGGGTTTAAAAGACTGAAGCAGACCAGAAGGGACTCGGCACGAGCTGGAAATCAGCTGACGCCGGGTTCCCTCCCTTTCCCCTTCTCCTCCACAGGCTGCGTCTAGATTGGCAAGATTTTGCGCCAATACTTTAATGGAAAAGTTTTTCTGTTAAAAGTGTTTGCGCAAGAGAGCGTCTATACTTGCATGTGCTTTTGCGCAAAAGCATCCATGCCCAGTGTAGACGCTCTCTTGTGCAAGAAAGCTCCAATGGCCATTTTAGCCATCAGGCTTTCTTGCGCAAGAAATTAACGTTCCTGTCTACACTGGCCCTCTTGCGCAAGAGGGCTTATCCCTGAGCGGGAGCGTTGGAGTATTTGCGCAAGAACCACTGATTTCGTACAGTACAAAGTCAGTGCTCTTGCGCAAATACAAGCAGCCAGTGTAGACAGGCAGCAAGATTTTGCTCAAAAGCCAGTCTAGACGCAGCCACTGTGTTTTAGCTTTTCAAATGTATTAAGAGCCCGCAGGCTGTTAATACATTTAAAAGGCAGAAGCGCCGAGGGGGGGGACTTGGCACCAGCCGGGCCAGCTGATTCCTGGCTCGCACAGGGTCTTCTCCACTGTGCACCAGCCTTAAACGTAAAAAGGCTGGTGCGCAGTGTGGGGACCTGGCGTGGGCCAGGAATCAGCTGTCCCTCCCGCTGTGGTCTCCTGCTGTCCCTCCCGGGTCCCTGCTTCCGGCAGGCTCTTAATACATTAAAAAAGCAGAGGTGCAGCATCTGGGATTGGGTGCAAGCCAGGAGTCAGCTGATTCCTGGCTCGTGCAAGGTCCCCACTACTCCTCTGCCTCCCCCCCCCCAGTGGAGATGGTGCTGGGGGGGTGGGAATCAGTTTTTAAGCTGGTTCTCCCCAGCACTGGCTCCTGCTCCCTCCTTTTGGTGCCTCTGATAGCGGGACTAGTCGATTACCTGATCAGTTGTTGCTTATCGGGTAGTCGATTAGTGGCTTACATCCCTAAGCAGTGCATATCATTAAATGTGTCTTGTCAAGGGTTGGGGGTTTGGATGCCAGCGTGATCCTGGGAAGATTTATATAAGAGGTTCCATTGGCTGGATATGCCCTGCAAAATGGTATGAGGTGACTCCTGTCCTTTGGCTAACCAGGGCACTCTCTTGGCAGCTCAGCACGGGGATGGTTCTCCTGCCTTTTCACCGGTGCATTCTGGTCCGGCAACGTGGCTCACCCGCTTTGCCTTTGTGTCAAGCGCTGGGCCTGATGGAAGGCAATGGAGCTGCACCAAGCCTTACGCAGCGATAGCCCTGCGTGATTTCCCAGGGCTGCTGATCCGTCTGCCATGGCTTCGCTGTGGCTTGATGGGCAGGAAAAGCGAAGGTTCCCAAAGGAAAGCCTCGCGCTGCCCTTTTGGCTCTGACAGCTGTGGCACTGCCCTTGGCCTTCCGCTGCACACAAGGGAAGCAAAGGGATCTGGGCCTGGGAGAGGCTCTTTAATAGCATTTCAATTATGCTCCGACAATAGAAAGGACAAGTCTACGTTCTGGGTGTGTCTCCTGCCGGGGTATTGCCCTGCCTTGGGCGTGGGCTGTCAGGCTCAGCCCTATGACCACCAATGTTCCCAGCACCGAGCCCCGCTTTCCTCGCAGCAGCCTCGACACGGCCTGGAATTCGGGGTATCGTCCGCGTGTCTGTGGCTAAGTGTCTTCAGTTCAGAGCTCTAAGGCTTGCTCTGACCCCCAGAGCATCACCCAGCAAGTGCATCAACCCACGCACGGCAGGAGGAACTAGCCCAGCGGGTTTCAAACGACTGGCACTCCAGGGCTGTGTCTACACTGGCCACTTATTCTGGAAAATCAGCCACTTTTCCGGAATAGCTTGTCAGCTGTCTACACTGGCCCCTTGAATTTCCGGAAAAGCACTGACGATCTACTGTAAAATTGTCAGTGTTTTTCCGGAAAAACTATGCTGCTCCCGTTCGGGCAAAAGTCCTTTTCTGGAAAAACTGTTCCAGAAAAGGGCCAGTGTAGACAGCACAGTAGTGTTTTCCGCAAAAAAGCCCCGATCGCGAAATGACGATTGGGGCTTTTTTGCGGAAAAACACAGCTACATTGGCACGGGCGCTTTTCTGGAAAAAGTGCTTTTCCGGAAAAGCATCCTGCCAATGTAGACGCGCTTTTTCCGGAAATACTTATAACGGAAAACTGTTCCATTTTAAGTATTTCCGGAAAAGGGTGCCAATGTAGACGTAGCTGGCATGAGAATCTCGCACAATTGAGATTTTATTCGTAGGCATGGGCCGTTGCACTACAGGCTTTACAATGCACAGCTTATGGATTTGGGAGAGTTGGGAATGTCTGGGCAATAGATTTTTATCACAAGGCCCTCTCGCCCTGTTGGCAAGAAATGAGGCTGCGATTTAAATGATCGCGGCTTCATTTAAATTTAAAGGGCGGCCGCGCTGAGCCGACAAAGAGCTGATCAGCTGTTTGTTGGCTCAGCGCGCTAGTCTGGACGCTCCCGCGCCGACCTGAAAGGCCTTTATCGACCTCCCCGTTATGCTTTCAGAAGCACTCAGTGTTACTTATGGCCTTGTTTGTACTAGAAAATTGGGCCTCTCTAACTATGCTGGTGTAGGGTTAGACAGACATGGTTAAAGCCGGGCGACCACACACACACTGGTACAGCTAGCCCCATATGGGATGGCGAATAAACGGTACTGGTACAAAGCATCTTTATTCCAGCAAAACTGAGAGCTCGTACCGCTATAAACACATTGGTCAAAAAACCAGTGTGCAATGGGCAGTCACAATTAGTAAGTGGGCTGCATGAGTGGCCCTCCTTCATCTCTGTGCCGCATGCGGCCTTGCACACCCCTTTCCCCGTGCTCCTCTTGCACACGGGGGCACTGGAGCCCTGCCCTTCCCACTCCTCCCATGCCATCCCAGCACTTTCAGAGCGCCACAAATCTGATTCGCATTCTGGGTTTGCTCCCACCCCTCCCTCCCAGAGTTGGAACCCTGTGAACAGCTGATTCGTGATGTTCCAGCTCTGGGAAGGAGGCGGAGGAGCGGGGACGGAGCGCGAAGCAGCGGATTTGTGGCGCTTGGAAAGTGCTGGGAGGGTGGGAGGCTGAGCAAGGAAATGCAGGGCCCCAGCACACAAGAGACCCATGGGGGAGAGAGGCAGACTGGGGGTCCGTGGGTGGCAGGCATGCTGGGCCGCATGTTGCCCACTACTGGTGTAAGTGCATCCTACAATGACAAAAGAGTTTTTT